CGAAACGTTTAGACTTTCGACGGTTTTGGTTTCGACTTTCGACATTAGCCTATTATGGTTTCGTCCCGCAACTATACGGCTTTCTATTTGCAAAAAGTGTATGTTATGCGCAGTAAGACGTCATTGAATTATTAGCCAGTAGATCCTCATGTGTGTCAGAATTTAAGCCACAATATTAGATAATCACGTAATGGATTTATAAGCTTCACTTGAATAAACCATACTTGCAAATATGATTTCAAAACTAGAAGTTCCAGAAGAATTAGAAAGCCCGTATTTCAAAATACAAAGCACCCTCGAACCACATAATCTCGTTGAGTCGTCTAAAAGAATTTTACAGGTAGTGAATAATGAACCTATGTTAACCTACTCTTACTGTTTAGAAGTACTATTTGAGGATGAGAAAGCCTTCTTTACCTTATGTCTTAACCCTGTTTTGTGGTTCGATGTGTACTTGAGAAAAAAAGATCTAGAGGTTTCCGCCAAGATTGCGAGAACATACGTTACCAATACCCGGTTCCCCGTATCTTATGAAAATGATAAAATTGCACCTTTTGAAGTAGAATACAGTGAAACTGTTAAAAATTCGGCATTTACATTATGCAAATATGGAAAGGACTGTATATATCAATATCATTCATACGGTAAATGTGGTAAGTTTCTCTTTGCAGACCCAATCTATTTGAAATATCAGTACCCCTACGGCGTTTCCCGCAGATATATAGATTCGTTAACTAATATAGATAATTCTTTAGACCGTGATCATTCAGACGTCATCTGTAAAGGTACTTCAAAAACTCGAGACGGACGCGATATTGTTTGCGGTTTCTACGTTCTTAACTATCTTGTGGTATGGGAACGAGAAAACTATTACATAATGTACCGACGTGAACCTATTCGTGGCTTATTATTTGTTCCGCACCCTAATGATAACGAGAAAAATAATTTTAACCACTTTGAAAACACGACATTGATCAAGAATCAATTATTCTGGCAGGATTTGTTGAAAGAAAGAGAATATTTGGGATTTAATTCGATTTCGCTCAATTATGGCATGTGGGAAACCAAGCAAGCAAGATCAGAGGACAAATATATACAAAACTGTCATGGCCATGTTCATCTTAACTTTGATGATATGGGTTGGGAGAATTTAAAAGCTAAGATTATTAAGGATCCTAAATTTACGTCATTATCCGTTCGAAATTTGAGATCGATGTTAGACGCTCGAAATTTTCCCGAGCCAAACAATCGTCTTAAAAACTGTCTTGAACTAGAACGTTTTCGGTTACAAATAGTTGAACCACAGTTGGTGATAGAAAGTTTAAACAAACTTGGAGGAAAAGTGGATAATGTCGTTACAGCTCTTTCCGAAACTAATTCGGCTCTTTCTGTAACCAATGAAAAACTATCTAAACTTGTTGATTTGTTGATGCCAAAAAACGACTAGTGTGATTTGTACTTTGAAGACTACCATATGTATGTTCTATATGAAGAATCCTCGAAAAAAAAATATCACATAATAATATGTAGCAATATTAATATAAAGATTTCCCCGTATCATTAGTGTATAGCATTTTAGTTGTCTATTATACCAACTAGTGACGCTAAATTTATTTTAATTATTGAAAATGTTATATTAATACTTAACAGCTTCAATTCTTATTAATAAAGTCATAATAAAGCATTAGTTTGTTCGCCTAATTGGGCTTATATTTTTTACATTTTCCAATGCATGGTTATTAGTTAGTATTTATCCCAAAATCTATTAAATCTGGATTGGCAATCGGAATCAATTAGTGAAAAAATGCCAACTCTGATCGTTATAATATGCTGTTATACGGTGTTATGCTGTGTACCTTTAAAAAAAGACCGATTATGAAAACAAAGGTTTGATATAAATATACTGCGCCGTTTCTTCTGCGCAATTAAGTCGAGCCCGGACACGGTGCCATCAGAAAATAATGTTTTACATGTGATTTGTTATAGGCATAAACCAATCAATCGTAAATAAAGTTTGCCCAAT